AGAATTGGGCTCCAGGAGTCTACAGAGTTCCATGTAGTTGTGGCAGAGCATACATCGGCGCCACAAAACGTAGTGTAAACCCGAGGATCACTGAGCATAAAAGAAGTTGCAGATTAAGACAAACAGAAAAATCAGCAGTAACGGAGCACGCACTGCTAGAGACTAATGCAGAAAAAAATATGAAATTGAGAAAGAAGTGATTTAAAGAAGAAAAAAACATAAGAATAACAGGAATTAAAGAAACTACGAGATATTTTATTTAGTTTACAAAATAGTCAAGAGTTAAAAACAATATGATAGCTACACTATCGTAGAATGTATGGAAAATAGATTCAAATTAAAGAAACAAATTTGCCCTGGAGAATATCGTCCACAATATTCCTTAGTCCGTGTTGATAAAGAAAAGTGGATTGACACCTGCGTTAAATCTGTGAGACAGGCTAAATCTCCATCCTGGATTCTTGGTCCAAAATGGACTTTTATCACTTTCAGAGAAAACGGCTCATATCGTGTCGAAGGTTTCCAAAACCCTTCTTAGAATATGAAAAACGCATGCCCCCGAAATTCAATTTTCTTTCGCATTGTGAGACCGCGGGTGGTGTGTATTAAACATCCTGATGCATAATTTCAAGCTGATGAGATTTATAGGTATAAATCGCATCAGCGTGTGTAACATATGTTACTAGAGAATAGACCGAACCTGTCGAAATGTGACTTTGCCTGATGGGTGACCTTACGTCTTACAGAAATTCCTAAAAAAACCCATAAATTTTAAGCTGGCTAATTGCTCAACAATAGCGCCAAACAAACAAGAACAAGAAAAGAAGAACTCATAAATTACAAATTAACCTGAAACAGATAAATTGTGCCCAAGAGTTCAACATATCATACGATTTGCAGGGAATTGGATTTCGATCACTAAAATTCTATTTATATACGTTATCATGTCATATTGGCATCGTGATAATAAACAGCTTAGGGTCAAACAGTACACGATGCATCTCGAATCTGAAAGATGCATTTTAAGTCGCTGCATTACTTATTGATGAATAAATGTACAGTACTAAATTAGTTCATACTAACTAGAAACCTGTATTTTCCAAAGTTTGTAATTTGTAACTGACTTACTAATCACTAGATAGCGCGCACTATTCAACGAATGAATTCATTCGATAGTTGCAATCATTCATTTGGTAATTATTCGATAGTGCCCATCACTAATAGCATACATTAAAGTGCAAAACCAAATACTATAGACTGTAATACGTTCAACTTACCGCGATTTTTGGAAGCTACTACACTAGCGCCTCTAGCGGCAAGAGTTGTAAAATGGGATAACTTTAAATTGTTATTCCACGTTAGAGTTGTACCTTACGAAATAGTTTTAACGGATTTTGTTATATTCAATAGTGGTTTTGTTCAATTTTTGAAAACAATGATTAGCAAACTTGGTTCTGTTTGTGCAGTATACGGTTGTAATAATTATAAACTGAAAGGAGAAAAAAATGGTTTTTTAGGAAGTCGATAGACGCTAATCTGTATGTTTACAATTAAGTTGATTTTTCAGTTTATAAATAACAATTGTTCAATTTTATTTGCACCATGTTCAATCATGGATAATCGCTTGCAAACGGGAAAAAGGATTTAGATCTGTTATTAAAATCAGAAAATAGCGATTTCTTTTACCAAACATACGTAGTATGTATATACTTTCCTGACTGTGTTTCAATTGCAAATCAAAATTAATTCCTGTGTTTCAGTCATTTATTGTCTTTGTTTATCAATTAAAATACGTTTTGGTGTATTTTTCCACCATCATCAGTTTTTCTAAAATAACATAGTTAAAAAAATTTTTTTATTAATTTAAAAAACAATCACAGTTGTAAGAAATCGTTTTTGTTTGAACTGTTATGCACGTCAGTATGTACATAAATATTATCTTGCTCCGAATTGCGATTGCACCGAATCCAATTGCCAATTTAATGTAATCTTCCTAATTTTGCGGAACTTAAGAGATAAACAACGAGTTTGTCGATTTTACCTGACAGGGAGAATTTCGCCCATTTTGTTAACTAGAACACGTAAGTATTTATCGATTATATGTTCTAGCTTACTAAGTATGAGAAATCAACATATAGTTTTTGCAAAATGTCTGTTCTTTACATGAAATCAGCATTTACACAAATTCGGCGTAACAAATACAATATACATAATAGGAAACCAAATCCAAAAAACAACTCAAGCCAGTAGATGCCGCTGGCCCAACGGTACCCCAAAATTAACCTTGAGATGGACGTATTACAGTCTATAGTATTTGGCAAAACTGATCTCTTTCTGCGCATGCTCCAACGTTTATGACGTTTATTGAGACGATAGATTGGCGAGACGACCTAACCTTAAGATCCACCACACATAGATAAAGACTGTAGTGCCATCACATTGTTAATCTCAATATCGAATACGCCGCTGTTCAGCGATATGGATTTTAAAGTTAGGTTGTCTCGCCAATGTATCGGAATCTCATAGAGAAAGTAAAATAAGAGAGGTGGCAATCATATGGGCGTCCTTGTCACCGCGTTACGTAGGTAGCGCTGCAACTGGCTGACCGGCGACTGACGGCACTAAAATTTCGAGTTTTCGGCCAAGAAGTTCTGAGCATGTGCGAAACGTGCAGGACATAGTGAAAATAAAATAAGAGTCGGTTAAATCAGTTCTGTCCTTTTTCAACTTGCAGAACAACGCGGCTGGATATTATTCTTGAATTGCTAAGTTGACTTTGCTAACTGAAATTAACCTAAGAATTAAATTTAACCTTATTTTAACCACGTTTCCGATTAATCGGTCGAGTTCAAATAATTTCATATTTCTAATACCTGAACGGTATTAATACCTACAAATAACATTTGCTGTCGAGACGTCAGTATTGCATCGTAACATAGTAGTATTTTTTGTGAATATGTATTACCATTTTTTGTTTACTCTTTCTTGTTTGTTTGTATAATAATATTTGCATAAAGATGAGTCCTCCTGATGATCGTGTTCTATTCGTATAAATGTATAATAAATAGCATCAAACTGCAAAATTTCGTATTTTAAAGAGGGTAATCTTGAAAACTACGCAAAAAACCGGTTATTCGAATTCTCTGATCCAAATAAAGATATTAATCGTCGCAGAAAATGCTTTGAAATAATG